TCTAGACTGGGGCTTTGAAGCACACATAACATTATTATACGCATACTGATAACACAATTTATAATAAAGCAGATCCTTCTCATTATTACTATCGACTGACTTATCCCTAAATGCCTCACGTTTATGTCTTATCATTTCAATATATTGTCCAAGAGTTACACCATAACATAAAATTAGAATTATAATCATTATTAAAGATATTAATAAGATAAATAGTTGCACCTCATTATCATATATATTTATATTAATATCCTTTAAATATGAACATATATTTAATTTAATATCCTTTAAATATGAACATATATTTATATTAATATCCTTTAAATATGAACCTTTATTCATATTAATATCCCTTAAGGGTGAATATTCATTTATTCTAGTTAGAAATGCATCAACCTTTAATTGTAAATCTATAGAAGGTATCATATCGCTCAATTTTATATCATAAGCCATAAAAATTAAGCCACATACAGCAGCAAAAAAGCCATCATTAATGCAAATAATCCAGTAGCTTCACTAAAAGCAAAACCTAAAATAGCATATGAAAATAATTGACCCCTTAATGAAGGGTTCCTAGCTACACCTAAAATTAAAGCACCAAATACTACACCAATTCCAACTCCTGCTCCTATTAAACCTGTAGTAGCTAAACCTGTACCTATTATTTTGGCTGCTTGTATCAAATTTTTACTATTACGGGTATTTCATATAAATATGTAAAACATATATAGATTAATTAATCTTTAATAAAAAAGTATTGTACCAATACATAACTTACCTATATAAAGAAAAACAGTTTGTATATTATTTTACCCCTCCACCCTCCGCTCGCGAAGCGCAGGCAGGCTGACGTGTACTATGAAGATGTAATATTTATTATAAAATTAAGGCTATTTCTGGATATTTTCTCGTATTAAATTTTTATATTTCCTATAAAATTAAGGCTATTTCTGGATATTTTCTCGTATTAAATTTTTATATTTCCTATAAAATTAAGGCTATTTCTGGATATTTTCTCGGATGAAAATTTATCATCTTCATAGGTTGATATTTTTAACGCTCCCTTCCCTAGCTCGAAAACAAATCCTATAGTTATTACTATAGAAAAAATTAACATAACTATTAACCCATATATATCGTTATTATATCCACTAACTGAAAAAGGATAAAGTAATAAAATCTCTAAATCAAACAGCAAGAAAACAATAGCATAGATAAAGAAAGAAATATTAAAAGGTAATCTAGTTTGAAGGAAAGAATGAAATCCACACTCAAAAGCCGAAATTTTTTCATAATACGGGTTACGAGGAGCTAAGAAAAAATTTAAAGCTAAAAATAAAACAGCTATAATGCAAACAAAAATAAAAAAGAATGTAATTGAACTCATTATGTATTAAATAAAACTTGAACTAGTATAGTTCCCATGCTTAATCATTCTTTATTCATTAATATAAATAATAAAATTATTAGAGTTATACTAGATATTGTAATAGATATAGGACTAGTCATAACTATATTATTATATTTGAATTCTAAATTTTTTACTAAAACATTATTATTATAAATATAACAGGATAATTTTCTATCCTTTAGTAAAGAATTTATTTTATATTCAGGTTTATAAAAGAAAATTTCTTTTATAATGTTAAGGTAGTAGACAGCACCAACTACACTAGTTAAGATCGCAATTAAAGATAAGAAGATATAACCGCTATCTAAAGCAGCGCTTAAAACCATTTGTTTTGCAAAAAATCCTACCAGGGGTGGAACACCTGCAAAAGAAAATATTGTAATAGCTAAACTTAAAGCTAAAAGAGGATTTATGTAAAAATACCCTCTTAATTGGCTAATTAATTGAACAGGAGAATTATTTTTATCTAATAGTTCTTTGTGTTCCTTATTATCAGTTACATAAAAATAGTAAGTGAAACCTATTGTTACTAATATTATAAAAGCATTTAAATTACTTATAGAATATTGCATTAAATAAAATACAAATGCTTGAATAGATTCTATGCTAGTTATACTTAATGCTAATAATATAAAACCTACATGACTTATAGTACTATACGCCAATAATCTTTTTATTCGGAACTGTGTTAAACCTACTACTGTACCTACTATTAAAGATAACAATGAACTCATTAATAAACCAGATGTTCAATTAAAGTCTGAAAAATAATTACTTGTAAAAAATACTATTTCTAATAATAGTATAAATATAGAAATTTTGGCTACAATAGCTACAAATGTAGTAACAATTGTAGGAATAGCGTCGTACACATCAGGAGATCAAAAATGAAATGGAGCTGCACTAACTTTAAATAAGAATCCTATACTAAAGATAAGTAAAGCATGGTTTATATAATAAGGTTTATATCAAGAATTTATATTATCACTTATACTAGTTATTATATACAAACCATCCATATTAGTAGTTCCAGAATTAGCGTACAATAAGCTTGTTCCTAATAAAATAAAACAGGAACTTAATCCCATGGCTGCCGAATTTATCTTACATATATTTGTACATTTGAAAATATAATATTAATAGACACCATTAAATATAAATGATATTTATTTAGTTTCTACCTGTGTTCATTCTAGCTTTTATTTGACGAACTAGATCTAACCCTTCTGGAGATAAGTGTTTCTTGTCTTTCATCATATTGGCTACTTGACAAAAATCTTCAAAATCTTTTAATTTTTCTCCTATTATAGGGGTTTCTTTAGATAAACGAGGTATAACTTTTGTTATTATATCCTTAAGATTTGTTACTCTGAATCTACAAATGTTACCTCTAGTATAGATATTACCGCAACCAAAAAATTCAACTATATTCGCCATTAATTGTTCATCTCTAACATGTTGAGATATAATAAAATCTAATTGTATATTTACACCTGACTTTGTTGTAGCAGATTTTTGAATGTCTACAAAAAAACAACCTTCTGCTGATATAAATCCAACTAACCAACCTAGGTCTGGAATACGACTATTTTCGACTAAAGGTCGAGATATAGGTATAACACCTAAAAAGGCAGCCTGTAATGAATCAGATAAACCTTTATTCATTGAAGCTTTTATTGCTACAATTTTTTGTAACCCCTCTAACTTTAAATGCTCTTTATTTAAAATTAACTTATATGCTAATTTAAAAAGCTCGAAGTCTGCTAGTTTTTGAGTTATTAAAGGATATCGATCAAAGTGTTTAATAATTTTTTCTAGATCTTTAAAAGAAAGACGATAATTAAGAATTTTTTGAGTAGGATGTTTAAAAAAATTACCGGCTGAAAAGTATTTTTGTATTTCTTCTAAGACAGCTCTGTCTTTTTCATGTAATGAAATACCAAATTCCAATTTTACTTGTCAACCAATTTTATTTTTATTTTTCGAAATACCTATAGAAAAATAACCTTCCCCATCTATAAATCCTGTGATAAATCAAGGATTAATATTTTTTTTTTGTGAATTAAGATCACTTAATTTTTCTGTATCCGGAGGATAGCGAGCTATTAAATGGGGAGCTTGTGCAACAGAAGTATAAAACCTTAACTGTTGTTTTATTTGGTTAGAAAGGATTCCGGGTTGATAGTTTCTCTCGAAACCCATTAGAGTATATCTTATATTTGACATTGATAGATAGTCAAACATATTACCATTTACTCGTTGCTCTTTTACAAGTAATGCTTTATTATTACTTGACTTAGATCCGCGATAACCTATTTCAGTTTCCTTCATCTTATGACTTGTTACTATACATGAGTAATTAATTCATCCACGAATACTTTTTCAAATACCGCTTAGTACCATAAGCTTTAAGGCGTCCCCGGAGTTTGATAATAATTGGCACATTAATAGGAGGATCCTACCCTCCTTGGCACCTAATAAAAAATACATTAAACCTCCTGTGGTAGCTAATTCTGAATTTCTGTATATTGTACTTAATAAATACAACCCGTAACTTTGAAGCTCTATTGATAGAAAAATAGAAACTAAATCATTAGTAGACATTAAAAAAATTGCTCCACTAACTACAAATAATAAAATTAAAGGATATTCTAAAATCTTTAAATGTTCCCCCATTTTATTAATAATTTTTGTTCTGTAATACACAAAATTATTAAATAGTAAATCTTTTAAAGATGAATGTTCTTTAACTCAAACCTTTCTAGGAAAAAAACTAGTTAATTGTAATATTAATATACTTATCATAAAAACAAATATATGAAATATTTGAGTTATATTAGTAATATGAAGTAAACCTCCATGTAAACCTACCCCTTTATTTATAAGAGATAAACTTATTACATCATGTAAAAAACAATAAATTAAAGCAATAATAGCTATTCTATTAAAAAGTATTGACATATCACGTCTTAAAGTGACGGCATTAGAAAATAATAAACATAATATAGATAAAATTATCATAACATAATTTATTTATAAAAAACCCGAGAATCTTTTATAATAACCAGGAGAGAAAATCGAATTCTCATCTTTAATGCATGAAATTAAGGTTTTAACCTGTTAAACTACCCTGATCTTTCGTTATATATTGGTTTAATTTTATCTTCTTAGTTTTCTGTCTCTTGACCCTGACAAGGGTCAAGAGCGAAAACCCCGAAGGAGCGCAGCCACCCTGCATCAAATAAAATTTGATGGAATATCTGATATACTTTAGACAGAAATCTAACTTAAAAGAGACCTATAATACACCTTATAAATAATAAAACCGCAAGAATTTTTAGTTTATCAATTTTATTATAATTACTGTATTCCCTCACCCTTATCCTCTCCGCCTCCTCAACTAGTTGAGGAGGAAGGAGGGGATACGAAGCCGGGGGGAAGGCATTTTCAGGCGGCGCCCATGATACGGCGCCGCCGCCCCATAGCTGCACTATCATCAAGTATCTAAACTATAGGTTACTCCATTAAGATTTAATTTATCTATCTTTTATTATTACGATTAATTTAAATTATTATACAACATATAAAGGGTAAATACTTGGACTTGAACCAAGAACATACTGAGCCACATACAGTCACTCTACCTTTGAGTTATACTTACCTATTATCTCGAGGTGATTCGAACACCTAATAGTAAACATCAAAAATTTATGACTTACCCCTTAGTCAACGAGATATATATATAGGTAACAAGACTTGAACTTGTACGGTTTTAACCATTCCAATCTAAAGGGAACTTGTCTGCCAATTCCAACATACCTATATGCATGCCTAAGATAGGACTTGAACCTACAACGAAAATAGCTTCAATATTTCACTCTACCAATTGAGTTACCTAGGCTTTAAATTCAAAGATATTCCTTTATTAGATTTATATAAGACAATTCCATATCCAAAAATTTAACCTTTGCTTATTACCAGCTTTGCTACCTATCTCCCCTCCGAAGGAGAGAGGACTGCTGTTTAATTAAATTTTTGCGGGTACTGGTTTTTGAAAATAGAGAAGGGAGGCGCTGAATTTAAATAACATGATCTTTCTTTAATAAAGATGTGTTGGCTGAAAAATTACTTTAAATTTTTTCATAATTGAAAGATAAGAAAATGAAGATAAATTATTTAGTTTATAAGTACATTTAATCACTAAATATATACAACTACTTTATTAAAGGGGCCCTGTGATAGCTTGCGCCATAAAAATTTTAAGTTCGCATTATATGGAGACATTGAGAATCGAACTCAAATTAATAACTTGCAAAGTTACAGTTTTACCATTAAACCATGCCCCCTTTTATTAATATTATCTAAAATAAACAATACTAAAATAAACGACATTATAATAACAAATTTTACATGTACTTTTAGTTTTATTATTACAAAAATATCCGAGAAAGGACTTGAACCTTTACGGCAGTTAGCCTACAAAGTTTAAATTTGTTGTGTCTTCCATTTCACCACTCGGATTAAGGCTAAAGTGACTTGAACACTTATTTTTACTGTTATGAGCAGTATGCTTTACCAATTAAGCTATAGCCTCTTAAACAATTAAAAATAGTTGAGAGGCACGCCTACTAAATTACAATCAGTACAAAAAAAAAAGTATTTACATAATAAGATCTCAAAACACTCAATAAGTTATGTAGTTTCCAATTATACTTATATTTACATTTATTTTTTCAAATCTTAGGAGTACTAAAATTTAGCCCCCTACGAAGTGAGGCTTCGCTGCTTCGCAGGGTGCGCACCCTTTACCTATGCGCAGGGGACCTGGACCTGGACCTGGACCTGGTGCGACGGGCCGTCACAACTTTTCTGGACGCGGACAAAGGACTTGCACCTATATCATTTGATCATGAGTCAAATATGTTACTATTACACTATTCCGCCACATAAATTCTAAAAAAAACTCAACTCTAATTAAGTACTTAGCAATATATACTGCTGGAAAGAAAAATACCTTTATTATGATTTAAAGGGATAGAATTTCATTACCAAGTAATTATCCTTAATAACTCTAAGTTCGAATACTTCATTAAAAGCCGAGGTTAGAACACTCCACTTAGAATATACTTTGGTTTAATTATTATACCATTAGGTACATTTTTACAACCTGGTTAACTTAAATATAACAATATTCCTTTATTAACAAGACTTTTTATACTATTTACTTTTTTAAGTATTAATTAAAAAATAAACCCTTAAGTATAGCCTAAGCTAGATTAGACGGGGATCGAACCCGCGATGGTAGCATCGAAAGAGCTATGTCTTACCACTTGACTACTAATCCTCATATATAACCTAGTGTCTTACCACTAACGTTTGTATAATAGGAATAACCATCTTACTACCAATATTTAAATACTACCAATACTTAAATACATAATCAGGCTAACCATATGTAGATGAAATATTTCTTTGCAATTAAGCAAAGAATTACCGTCAATTAAGATATAGAACTTTACGTAAATATACTGACTTATTACTAAATTGAAATGGTTAGGATTTTTGTACTATGTAATGCACTGTGTATAAAGATACTTTAGATAACTTTACCGTCACTATAGTCTAAATAATTTTACTACGAAGGATTAAATATTCAAATAAATGAATGAATAATTACTAATTGAATGAATTCCTTATCTCCTGAAGGGGAATAAGGAATAAATACTTAAATTCTTCATATTATATCTTTTGGTGCGAAGCGGCGAAGCGGCGAAGCGGCGAAGCGGCGAAGCGTCAACTTTTAAGATATTTCCCTTTACATTACTTATATTACTCTTTGCCCAGAGCACCTGCTAAGTTTAGTATGAAATTTTAAATAGCATTCATTAAATCAAAGTTATCTTTTATGTTAATGCTAATACAATTGTATTTTTTCATAAAATAAAATGAACCTTAAAATTCAAATAACCCGCCCTCCCTTTCGGGAGGCGGCTGCGTCTGAAAAGAGTAAGGGATATTTCAATATCTAAACCTAAAAAGGTTAGCTAAACCCAGTGGCGGTATCGCACCGCCTAAATTTAACCTACTTGAAATAAACAGACTTACCGTTAAAGAAGAAGCGAGTGTTTTTTAGTACCCTTAACCGAGCTGTTTGAGGAAGTATACCTAAAAATTTTGCACTTTCAGCTATAGAAGAAAATGTTGGCAAAATATCACCGCTAGTTGCATCTAGTAACTGTACTTCCTTTGAAGTAGGTGAACCTTTAAATCTATTTAAAGACTTTATGAAAACTCTATCACCTTTAATCTCGTAATTAGAAGGTCCATCTAATAACTTACTTATATAAGCCAAAAGAAGATTTATAGCTAACGAAGTTAAGTTCGGCGCTTTTGAAGTAAATAGGCGATTGTTATTCATTTTACTTAAAATACGAGTAATCAATGTTTCTCCTTAAGATAATTGAGCCCTTTTTTATAAAAATAGCCTTCCAGTCAATATAATCTAAATACTTTTTACTATGTCATGAAAGCGAATCAAATAAAGGAATTAAAACAGACTCTATGTATGCTCCACGTTGAACAATAAGATTGAATATTCCTCCTAATCCCCTCCGCCTCCTCAACTAGTTGAGGAGGAAGGAGGGGATAGAAGCAGGGCCAGCGCGAATTTTATTCGCGCGGCAGGGCTATTATCTGAATTAATCTTTACTCAACTATCATAACCTTTATCATTTTTCAAGTTTAAAGGTACTAAATTATATAAGAACTTTTCAATAGCTCTCATTAAAGCTTCATTACCTTTTTGGCTAATAGTGAATACTAGGCTTTTATTAGAAGCACTAATAAAATGAACCATCCCCTTCAACATACCCGAGTAATCAGTAATTACTTACATTATAATGATTAGACGGGCTGGTCTCAGCTCGAGGGCGAGGCCGCTTCGCAGCCTAGATATGTAGCTCTCTAATTAAAAACTAAAACGTAATAGCCCAGTAGGGGTACTGCCCCCCTGTCGATTGATTACAAAACAATTGCATTACTATTTATGCTAACTAGGCTTAAGTTTGAATAAGATTGAAGTAGATTATATTCTATTCATTCTATACAAACCTTAGTTATATTAATAACTTACTTATTATTGATATACTATAAAATTATACCCTTCTTAATAAAGGGGTATTTTAGTATTTTTAGATATCCAAATTTACACCTCTATTATATAGACTCCAAAAAAACACCGACCTTCGGAGGCGCAGCCACCCAGCACGAGCTTCGCTCTGCGTTGGGATTCTTTTTATATTTATCGGGAGATATTTCTGATATAAATGGTGAATCTGCAGATAAGGAAAAATTTTTTAATAAACATATCTTGAAATCCCTATAATGGAAGCACATTCTTCTAAACTATTAGCTAAATTAACTTCACCTGAATCACGAGTAACTATTTCAAACACCGATACTCCTTTAATAGCACTATCAAGTTTTTGAGTTGTTGGATTTAGTAATCTTCCATCACTTAATGGAATAGTTACAGGATATACTGATAATAGCATATTCCTGGAATTTTTAGTTAGAAAGGGTAAACCTTTTAAAAAAGGTAACAGATAATTATACAAAATTCTAATATTTTCAATTCCTATAAAAACTAGGGGTTTTGTATTTCCCTTTGGAGGTACATAATTTATGCTTATTAATTCAGAACTATTCAATTTAAACAACTCGGATTGCTTATTAATTCTATAAGAACCAACATTTTTATTTAAATGAGCTGCATCCGGAATTGTAACTGATCCTATTCCTAAATTTTTGGCTATAACTTTTAAAGTATCTAAATCATCAATATGGAGGTTGATATTAAACATAAATGAGAATTTTATTATTTTATATTTTTTCCCTTTTAAATGGTTAATTTTGTGCGGAGCGTTTCCCTCCTAATCCCCTCCGCCTCCTCAACTAGTTGAGGAGGAAGGAGGGGATAGGAAGCCATCTATAAATCCACTTAATCCGATGAAATAAATTAATATATTTCGACTACGTAGTAAAATAAGCTATTATTATTTAAAACTGATCCAGAATCTAAGGCGTATAAATGCGATATCTTATTTTTTGCTGCTAATTCTAATACATCAAAATTTATTTTTTTCATATTTTATTTAATTAATGGGCTTGACCTAGCCGCGAGAGAGGACCACTACTTAAATGAGCTTACAAAACCTAAACTTTATAAAGGAACCGACACAGACCATTATCTCTGTAGACTATGGGCTAAGGTTGAGAAAACACTGTGCCTTTTCAGAGCTATTTCGCCAGCCCCCCATCATCTAAGGTACTTATCCTTATACCGCCTTTTCCAATTACTATACATTTAATCCTGAAGAGGCTCTGGACTATCGTTAATTATAAAAATGCAATATTATTTATAATATAGAGGGAGTATTGTTTACCCTCCGATAAAGATTTAAACCAATCTAACCCATACTTAAAACGAACCGTCTTTAAATAATACAAAAGTATGGTGGTGCTCATACATACTCAGGAAGTAGGTTTTTGGAGTACCAAGCCTACCCTCAGGCAGGTATATCTAATTATGTGGATATACTTTAACGGTTTAAAGCCTGAAAACCGAGAATCTCCTTTGCACAAGTTACTTAATTTTGCTTATCCGGAGGATTAGCAAGCGAGGGTTCCCTTTATAGGATTTGTATCCACAATTCTACTTTCCCTCCTTAACAATTGAGCAAATATATTCTTGTCCGACCTAGACCTATCGAAATGATGGAAATGAAGGTAGATAAGATTTTATGCTAACCAGGCCAAATAAATAATGTAAGATATAAATAAAATATTTAGTCATTTATAAAATTAGTACTTCATTCCTTAAAATCTCTAGATTATTACAAATAAAGCCTATATCTACAAAACTAAAATGATAGCATAAATGCTATCATTTTAAGAATTATAGCTTCGTAATGTTATATTACGTATATTTAAGAAATATCTTAAGGTAAGCTTCGTGCCTAGATGCTTTCAGCACTTATCTCGGACTAACATAGCTTTCCTGCCGTGCCTATACTATATAACTACTCAAGTGAAAGTAGGATAGTCCTGTATAATGAAAACTATACATTAATAATTTAATATTTGGACATATAAACAACAGGTAAACCAGAGATTAATAATTATACTATTTCAAGGCGCCGAAGCGCCTCCCAAGTTCCTTTCGTACATAGGTTATTCCTTATTATATTCTAATTTCCTCTAGAAGATAGAAACCATACTGTCTCACGACGTATTTAACCCAGCTCATGTAACTTTTTAATCGACGAACAGTCGTACCCTACATATCTTCTGCCATAGCTAATCAGATAAATAATCTGATCACAAATTTATCATGTCTTTAAATCAGAACTCTTCTACTATTCATTCCATCTTTTATTTTTTGAATTTGTTCTAGTCCTTCTAATGTTAAATGTTTTTTATTTTTTATCAATTCTGCAGCTTTTAAAAAATCTAGATAATCA